GCCATGTCCGCGCTGGGCCTCGCTCCTTGTCAACAACCTCTCGCCCTCTCTTTGTGTGTGTTTCCCACCGAACGCTGAAGGAAGGACATCTGCGCAGCGATGAACAGGCCCTGCGAGACGCTGGGCCTGTCCCACGTGGCAGGAATGTGCCAGCCCCACCGCAGCTGCAACATCAACGAGGACACGGGGCTCCCGCTGGCCTTCACCGTGGCCCACGAGCTCGGACACAGGTACYGCCTAAGCTCTTCTCTGCTCTCTTCTTCTTCGCGCCGCCTGCTCGGGGCTGCACGGGTGCAGGGGAAGCTGCAGGAACGTCACCGGCCGTTCTTTCCTCGTGCAGAACTTGCTGAGTCCTGAGGAACTCGCCCTGAGAATTGTATTCCAGAGAGTTACGTTTTTGGTTGTCATAGGCGCTCTGAAAATCACCTGCTCCAAGGAAACCTATTTATATTTATATACCATTTCCTGCATTGCTGGAATTAAACAACTTGGAGAAATCTGTTTATATTTATATACCATTTCCTGCGTTCCTGGAGTTTAACATCTTGGAGAAGAGGGTTACTCAGTAAGAAGGTTAAATTTTAGTCTGTTTACAGCATCAGTGATGGGATCTTGCTTGTCCTTATTTCTATACCGTGTTTAAGGCCATTAAGGCTTCGAAAAGTTAATTTGATGGTCATAGTTCATAATTGATACTTCTACATGGTAAAAGTATATATTCAATAAGTTGCATTAAACCAGTCTYGCTCTCATTACTTTTCCATTGGCCAAGTTTTCAGTAGGGAAGTTCAAATAAAAGTCTTGCAGAAAAATAGTATCTTGGTAAAAATGCCATGTAATGACTTGTTCATTAGATTATATTCAGTTTTGGATTCACCGATCTCTCCAGTTCAGTGATTGCTTTATATATTCTCTGCATGGAAGCCAGTCCATTGACTCTGTCACTCCACGCTCACCCTCTGCGTCCCCCTGGGCATGTAGGAGCAGTGCCGGGGGGCTCAGCTTGGTGCTCGCTGGTTCAGTTGCACTTGAGTCATTGCTTTTGAGAAACTTAGAGGTCAACCGTATGCCTAGCATTAGGCAGCCTGGACAGTTGTGCTAAATCTCATCCATTAATTTAAGTGACGTAGCTTAACAGGCTAATTTGTGGTGAGTGGCTGCTTCATGATTGATTGCTCTTCAGAGCAGCTGCCCCTTGGGCTTCTCCACACAGACTTGCTTGATGATGGTAAGGGAGTAATAAACATATTTCTTCCTAAGCACGTGCGACTTAGCGGATGCAAATAGCATTAATAATAAGGGAAACGCTGGGCCAGGCCCTGTGTGTTTCTAGAAACACATTGTGGTGCATATAAATGTCAACGGTGCCTGTCCGTGTACAGGTTGTTACTGGCACAGAGTTTCCTTGTGCTCTGGTGAATGCAGAGAAGATACAAAGCAAATATTTGTATATGAAGAATAAAGAGCCTGAATTGAGTTCTTTAAGTTATGTTTTACACATGCTTACACTGAATTTGGGCCGGTTCAAGTTGGAATACCCCCGGTTTACTGCAGTGTAAGCCAAAGGAGAAGCAACCTGGGGAAGATGTGGGTGATGGGAGCTGCTCTCCTTGCTCCTCGTGTCACAGGAACATGCACGTCCCTGGAGGCAGCCGCTACCACTGCAGGTCCCTCCCATCTGCTGTCATTAGCTGCAGCAGTTATTGAGTTGCTTCCCTTGGCACGCTCTCATTGCTAGGAGAAACAATTCCACGCAAAAAGGAGCACAYGGACGAGCAGTCCCAGGGCCCCATTATCTGCTGGGGCGGCCTCGGGCTGTGGGAGAGGGGAGCTCCTGCTGCTCCCCAGCATCTCCTACGGCAAAAGTGTAGACACAGGCCCCTCTGTGCAGCAAGAGATGCAGGAAGGAGGAATTCCCCAAGGTCTCAGGGCTGAGATTACCTGTGGGTGCTCCCATCACTTAGCAGGCACCCAGCTTGGCAAAGCTCTAGTTTCGTTAAAATACCCCGAACTTCGAAACCCCCTCGTGCTAGTCAAGCCCAAGCGCCCCRGAAAGCCCTGCATGGTGGCGATGTCGCGTGTGATGTTTGTCGTTCTGCTGCAAAGCAGCGAAGCCGCGTGGTTGTGGCGGGCGTGCGGCTCACCGCTCCTTTGGGGCCTGTGCTCTTACACAGTTTTGGGATTCAGCATGATGGAAGCAGCAATGACTGTGAGCCAGTTGGGAAAAGACCTTTCATCATGTCTCCACAGCTCCTGTACGATACGTCCCCGCTCACCTGGTCGCGCTGCAGCAGGGAGTACATCACCCGCTTCCTCGAGTAAGTGCTCGCGCCCGCCGGCCCCGCCGGCTGCACGCGGACCCTCCGCTGCTCCTGGCAGCCAAACCCAGGGCTCTGGGGGTGTTTTGACCCCAGGGATTTGCGGGTGTTTTTAGCCACCTCGGTTGCCCAGGTCCTTTTTGGGTATTTGTCCACAAAAGCAGTGCAAACCCCGGTGCGGCAGCACGCCAGCGTGTTGGCTGGGCCAAAGGGAGCCAGAGCYGTCTTCTCTGTTGACTTAGCAGCCTGGGTTCCCAAAATGTGTTTGCTGAGCAGTGAAACGCTGCCCTCAGTGCTGCTGTCCCAGTCAGACCAGCACCAGCAATTGCATTTGCATGAGCACGACTCAGGGCAGTGCAGTGGGAGCAGGTGGAGCCATCGAAGCCGTCGAGCAGGCGGAGGAAATCCCCGTAGCAAACGTGTACGTGTGTTCAAGCCGGCTTTGGAGTGATCTCCCGCCGCTGTGTGATCTCTGTGCTTGCCTTCCATGGCACGCGCACGGTGTAAATATGAGCGGGTGTTTGGGTGCTGGGRGAAGGGAGCGGGTTTGACAGTCATTTATTGTCTCAGGATATTTTCTCTGTCTGCTGCGATTCGGTGTATCCCCGTGCAGCCTCCTCTCGCTTCGCGCTCGTCTTGGCAGGGAGACGCCGCTCAGGGCAGACCAGCAGTGTTTGCCTCCAGGCAGGAGGCATCACRTGATGAAATTAAACTGAGCCAAATTCTTTCATACATTTGTTTATTTTTAGCACCCTATGGCTGATTTTTCAGCCTGTTGTTATTAAGTTCTTAGGAACATGGCCCTGTTTGTATCTTGCACCAGAGGAACATTTTTCCTCCTTGCTCTGGGAAGACAGTAGAAGGCAATGAGAACACGTGCACGAAGCAGCACGGGGAGAGCTGCGGCTCGGCCGATGTCTTAGCAGGGAGCTGCAGGACGGGAACTTTGCCTGGGTGCAGATCCCCCACTTCTAGATCCCAGTCAGATCAATCCCAAACAAAAGCAGGCAGGCTTGGCCCCAGGAAGGATGAATTATTGTTGATTTATGGTCGTCGGTGGAATGATGCTTTCCAGCATACTTGGTCCTCTGATTTTAACCTTCACTTTTAGCTTAAGAATTTCCTGCTTGCAATAACCTTGAGCTGCTCTTAGATGCAGCAGGGAAGAGGCAGACCATCTGGATGCTTTTCCAGTTGTGTTTTTGTCCATCCTTASTCTCTTCCCAGAGGAGGCAGCTCTTCCTTTAGGAGCAGGGGCCAGTTCAGCACAAACCTCTTCCAGTATCTGTGACATCCCCGAGGCGAAGGAGAGGCCTGGTGTGAGCGCAGACATGAGTGCATTATAATACGATGTTGGCAGGAAAATGGGAAGGACTACGCCAGAAAATGAGACGAGGCTGACCTGGGCTTGCTAGATGTGCTTGGAACGGACCTGCTGTTTAAAAAAGTGCACTTTTGGATGACGCTGATGATACAAGAAAAGAGGGAGATGCCCCCGAACGCTTAAGCATGTGCAAGCAGTTCAGGCCTTTGACAGCAGCGTGGCCCTGCTGTCCCCTCGCCCCGTGTGCCCAGTGCTGGGGCTCCCTGACGGGGTGCAACCGGGAGCYCCTTGTGAGACAGGGCTGGGATCCTCGCTGGGATCCTCCCTGGCACCCAGGGGGCTGCAGGGGTCACCTCCCGACCCCTCCATCCCCAAGGGAATTGCGCCGTGAGCTCCCTCCGCTCGAGCAGTGAGGAACTCTGGAGCAGCCCCAGTCTTGCAGTAAGTGGCAGGTGATGGTGATGTCCCCGTGGCTGAATGACATCTCTGCAGCTTCCAGCTCTGGAGACAGGTGGCCGAGCTGCTGCGTGTCCCACTAGCACGTTCTGTGCGAGCCCCTTTTTGACATTCCATGATTTTCCCCCTCAAATCCCTGGAGAAACTGCAAGATGCTCTGGGGACTCTTTGCTTGCACTCCTCGACATGAGGTGAGCTCTTCCCTAGCTCAGCTAGTGGAAAAGCATTTTTAATTTGGTTCCCCGTGTAACACATGCTCCACCTGGGCACACGGGTGTGCAGTGGGGTGCAGAACAGTSCCTTCATCACCTTCCCATCACCGCAGGCCACTGCATCTCCCCTCTCCTGTAGCTCAAACATCCATTTTTTAGTCTTTGCTCACAATGGAGAAGGATTTTCTCCTGAGATTGGCTCTTCTAGTCAGACACCACCTTTCAGCAGCCTGGACCTGGGTGACATTATTACTTACCCTGCAGTGCCCGGCTCAGCCCGAGCAGCTCCCCGAGCCCTTCCTCCTGCCCCTTAATAACTCCTGACAGTTATTCCAGAGCTTCGATTGGCAGAGCCGATGTTTCCCAAGTTTGGATCCTGTATTTGTTTTTAYTGAATTCAGCCTTGGCTTTTTGAGCCRTTCCTCCAGTTCTCCAAAAGCTTTCGGAATTTTAATCCTGCTCTCAAATGTGCTTGCAGATCTCCCCAGCTCGCTCTCAAAGCGGGATTTCATCTCATCCCATCTAGGCCATCATCTGGCTCATTAGTGAACAGCCTGAATTAGGCAGATGCAGGACAGACCCCTGTGAAATCTKCCTGCGGAGAGTGCAGTTTACTGTATATCCCTTCAAAGCCAGAACAAAAATCATGCCAAGTTTTGCTGGCTCAGTCAGCCTTTTTGTGCAAACATGGAGGCCAATTGAAGATACCGGTAGGACTACTCTAAAATATTTAATGAAAAAATAAATTTCGAACATAGTGCTGGCAAAGTCAATAGCAAATCTAAATCATCCTGTCATGCTGGGACTGCAGACCTCTCCCATAAACCAAGGAAAGGAGGAAAGTGCCTTGAACAGATCAAAGAGCAGGGAAGGTTGACTGGGGTTTCCGGAGCAGCACGTGGAGCCCCTTTATGCTGTAGAATGAGGAGATGGTTGGTGAACTAGTCCAAAAAGCCCCAGTATCACAGGTGAAGCCAATACAGGAGCCCAACACTTAAACCTTTAGAGTGCCCAACAAAGATCCTATTCTTTCCAAGTTTATAGAAAATTTTCTCTGTCAATATTTTCCGCMAGCAGGTAAAGAAAATATCTATAGAGCTGCAATGCAGTGACTGTGCTGTATGCCTGAAATGACTCAACAGCTTGAGGCTGGACCATAGTACTGCATGTGGCTGCCTAATCCACACTTAATTAATGCCAGTTCAGCCTTACATCACCCACAGAAACCTTCCTTCCGCAGCAGGGTGAGCGCCACGGCCGAGCCGCTGCGAGGTCTGTTAGGGCAATAAACGTATGGCAAGAGCCGGGCTCAGGGAAGCCAAGGGTTTGCTGTTCCCTCCAGTGGGGAAGCTGCTTGTGGATAATGTAGGAATGGTGTTTTAAACAGCCATCTTACCTGTGGGCTGGTAATTTAGACCATATGCAATTAATTTAGACCTCTTGGCACACAAAAAATGTAATTTAGACCTGTTCCCAGTGACAACAAATGAAAGTAATCTAATCGGCTCGGAAACCCACGCTGGAAACTCTGTGTTGCTGGAAACAAGTTTGTTTAAGTCAACACGGAGAGTTAAAGTGGTGACAATTCCTGGGGTGTGTGTGTGCAAGGCGGCCTGGAGCAGGGAGGCAGCCGGGGCACCCGCCGCTGCCTTTGGCTCTGCACCGCTTTGCACTCCCTTTTAGTGCGTCTCTTCCAAAGATGCACTGCCCAGGCTCCAACAGTTTGCACACTGTTTGCMGCTGCAAATAGGAGGGTAAGTGAGCTTTGCTGCCGACCAACTATTTTATTTTCTTTAGCAGGACATTGACACTAGTGTTGCAGTATCCACGGGGACATTGCTGGGGTCAGTGTGATGGAGGAACGCAGGGACATCTGTTTTGCAGCAACAAAATGTTTGCTCAAGTGAAACCCTTCACCTTGAATGATGAAACTGAGGTCCCGGCTCCAGATGGAGGACTTAGCTGGTGACCTGGTTGCAAATTAGAAATTAGGCACTTAATTCCCATACAAAGTGACATTGCCGGCTTTCCTTTGGGGAGCAGCAGGAACTGGTGCCTGGGGCAGCCGAGTATCCTGGGATCGAGCTTGGGGGCTGCCAGGAAGCAGTGGAAGGAGCTGGTCCTGCCCGAGGGGCGAGGTGGGATGTTCTGTGCTCTGGTGGGACTGCACATATCCAGTTCCCATCTGCGCTTCGGTTGCACATCTGCTTCACCAGTGCTCGTCAGCAGTTTTATTCCATATATCCCCCCTGGAGAGGTGTTGGGGCCGCCCTGGGCGCTGCCCCTTAGAGAACGTGGAGTCCCTGGGCATGAAGAGGGTTCAGGGGCACAAATTTACCTCCCTCCTTTCATATCATGAGCTGAACTGCCTATGCTTATGGCGCTTAATAAGTTAAAATATTMTACAGGAAGAAACTCATGAAAACTCGTTTCTGGTGAATGCAAAGTGCTTGGTCCTGCACGTCTTTACTTGCATGGAGAAATCCAGCTGCTGCCTTCTGCTTTAGCCCCGATGATGTTTGTCTGATAGCCAGAACTAGTGGGGGCCCAGGCTTAAAGTTATTTATAGTTGGAAATGGGAGCAGAATCGAATGCGCGGGGAAGCACGGGGCTGACGTGCACAGAGCTTTGCTGTGACCACGAGCCCTGAGAAAACACCCTCCTCGCGCGCTCGCGGCCGAGCTCCTTCAAGCAGACRCTTATTTGGCGGTTTTGTACGAACCGCTTTCCCGCAGACCTCCGAGGAGCTGCAGCGGGTCTGTTGAGTCTGCAGCGCGGCCGCAGAGCCTGGGAGAACGGCCGCTGCCGTGGGACGGGCACCGTCCCGGCGCTCCCACGGGAGCATCGCGCGCTTCCTTGTCAGCAAAGCGGCGGTAAACAGCGTGCTGAGAGCGGTTGTGAAGACTTTGTTTGCTTTGAGCAAGGATTTTAAAAGAAAGTTGTCTGGGTTTTCAGTCAGGCACGGCACCTGGCCCCAAGTGGGGTTTATTTTTCCAGCCTCGTTGGTCAGCAAACAATGTTCAGTGCAACTGGGTCTTGTGGGCTGGGGGATGTGAAGTTGCAGGGACAGAGGCCTCGCCGCCGGCATTCTCCCGGGATGCGCACCGGGAAGCGCTTCCTGCTTTTGGGCCCTTTGGCTGCTCCGGGACGGGGAAGAGTCCTGAGACGGGAGCAGCTGGGTGCCCACCCAGCAAAGCAGGCAGCAGCACCCGTGTGCTGGAGCAGGTCTGGAGGGCGCTGGAGACCCAGATGGGGATGCAAGAGGAGAAGCTGATGGCACCAAGGCAGGACCGAGTCGTGACGCGCTCTGGCCTCTCTCTTGCAGCCGGGGCTGGGGGCTGTGCCTGGACGACCCGCCGGCCCACGAGGTGCTCGACTACCCCTTGGTGCCCCCGGGCGTCCTCTACGACGTGGGCCACCAGTGCCGCCTGCAGTACGGCACCTACTCCACCTTCTGCGACGACATGGACGTAAGCGGGAGCCTGTCCTGCTCCCCAAGCGCGGCGCCGGGGTCCCCGCACCGCGATGCTCATCCTGCAAGGGGCAAAGTGCTGGGCTGGGGCAGGGGAGCCCGGTGCTCCCAGCRGGGCCGGAGGGAGGGAGGGAGGTTTGCACGCTCGGTGGCCACGCTCGGTTTGTGCAGTGAGTGAGTCCAACACAACCGTGTTTTCTGCAGAGCGTCTGCAACACGCTGTGGTGCACGGTGGGGAACACGTGCCATTCCAAGCTGGACGCTGCCGTCGACGGCACCACGTGCGGAGACAACAAGGTAATCAGAAGCAGTTGTATCTGGTGTCTTTTCCTGTGCATGAGGGATGAGTTTAGGGAAGGAGGGATGCAGRGAGGATTGGCTCTCCGCACAGTTCAGCTCTGGCCAAACTCAGGGCTTCCAGGGAGAGAGGCGCTTCAGTGAAGCCACCCGGSCCTAAAAATGTGAAACCTGCCGTTTATTGACATTGCATAAAAGTGCAAATCCTGTTCTGCTCCTAGGCAGGTCCCTGGGGTGGATGGGGCAGCTTGATTCCCTTGCTCTGCCACCAATCATATAGATATGATTTATAGACATAAAAATACCACAGACTGCTTTCCTTACAGCTGAAGAGTCACTGCCCGGTGAGCTGGCCCTCAGTGCTGGGATTTACCTGGTGCTTCAGCAGACATTTCCGGCAGCCCCCTCACCTTACCCGCTCTCCAGAGCTGTGCCATGATGGCTCTTCCCTTTGGGAATGAGGCCAGCGGCCGCTCTCTTGCTGAAAGCCCTTAGCGGGGGCTTGGCTCACGCAGGGGTGTTCTCCTGCAAACCTCCAGTTAGCCCAACGTGACCAAATCTCCCACTGCTCGGAGCGGCGCTCGGCTCCGCAGAGCTACCGCAGCAGGGACGTTAGTGCCCCTTGGCGTGGCGGTGTCGGGGTCGGCGCGTGGCTCTGCGGCGCCGCGGGTGCCCCTTGGCGTGGCGGTGTCTGGGCACGGCGCGGACCTTGTTTGCCCGCCGCGGGCTGCTCTCTTGCAGTGGTGCTTCAACGGCGAGTGCGTGCAGGTGGGTTTCCGCCCGGCGGCGGTCGAGGGCGCCTGGGCGGCCTGGAGCTCCTGGTCGCGGTGCTCGCGGAGCTGCGGCGCGGGCGTGCAGAGCGCCGAGAGGCACTGCAGCAACCCCACGTAAGTGAGCACGCCCTTCCCGCCCCTCACACCCCCTGCTCACTGATCGCCCGAGCTGTAACGAGCAAGAGGAACCCAATACTTCCTTATCACCTCATTTGACCAATTTGCTCCTAACCCATTTTTGCAAAATGGTACAGATGAGTGGAGTCATTATTCAGTTATCTTTTAGAATAATGTTCCTTTGAAACACTACAGGCCGCTGATTTCCTGGGGTTATCCAGCCATCTGGGCAGTAGRCAGTCTGGGGAAGCATAGAGTTTTCTGTGTCTCCTTTCACATAGACATTGCATGCACATATATATATGCAGGCAGAAAGCATTTGGAATATGAATCAAACAAAGAACAAAGGCTCAATGCTTGTAAATGTAAAACACATTCAGTGTCTCCTAGTGACAGAAAAGGAAAACAAATGTTCTTTGATCCCGATTCAGATTCATTTTGAAAAATTCCGTTGCTGTTTATCACCCCTTTGCTTTCCCCAAGCAATTTCTGTATGCATTAGAATGGGCTGTGATACAAAGCGGGGAGTTCCCTCCTCTCAGACTGCACCGATGGAGCAGCCAAATCTGGCCTGGAGAAGGTGGCTCCAGTGAAAGTATCTGAATAACGTCTGGGAAGCAGCCCTGTCTATCCCAGGCTGGCACATGTGGTGCCCAGATGTCCCTCTTCTTGCCAAATGAAGGTTGTATTGGCCTAGAAGCAAATCCCTCCGGATTGCCCAGGTGTCGGGGAGAGATCTGCGAGAGGAGGGAGCAAAGGGATTGTGAGCGAGAGGAGAACAGGGGCTGAGGGCGGCAGAGCCGGGCCGAGCCACCGCTTTCGGTGCCGTTCCCATCCATCCATCCGAGTGTCCCAGTGCCAGGCAAGCTCAGCTTGGCAGGGACAGGGACTAGGAAGGACAGGGAAGCACGGCCGCGGGGCTCCATGTGGTGCCACCACGCTGCCTCTTCCAGCCTGCTCCCTGCCACCCTTCCCAGACCCAGCTTGGGGCTTTGCGCTCCGGCGTTTCCTTGCTGCGTGTTCCAGTGGCTGCCTCCAAGGAGAGCGTGAAGCCGAGAGCTGCTTAAGGCCCCTACTGAATTTCCCAGTCGCAGTCAGTTTTCGGTGACTTGAAGAGGTTTGAAAGCTAAAAGAATCCATGTAGGATGCGTCGTGAGCTCAGATGTGTTTTCTTCCTAGCTTTTTCCTTGGCTAACTTGMTTTTAACACATGGTAGTGAGCTGAACACGTGAAGAAAGTGCAGTGTAATCTCATGCCTAGGTCAAGAGCTAGGTTTATGTTTGACATGAGTTTTGTGACAGAAGCGCAACTGTAGTTTATAGAGTGCTTTAAACACAGCTGCAGGCATGTGGGAGAGCAAACACCGTAAAAGCAGCAGAATTCCCCCAGGGAGTTGTTTGTTTTGGCCACTGTAGGTGAATCTCCGGCTTTGCCTTTTGGATTAAGTGAACAAACGTAGGCATGGGGGAATTCTTGATCCTCTAGGTATTTCCTAAAAGAAGGTTATGTAATTGAACGTGGAAAATCAAAAATCTTAAGGAGGGTATTTCTTCTGAACAGATGACTTGTGAGATTTCTCTGCCCTGGACACTTGTTCATTTTTGACCTGTGCTTCAGTCTTCCAGTCTCCATCCGTTTGAGTTACTGGATTGAAACAGTCAGAGAGCATCCAGCGAGGAAACCAAACCCCAGTGGGTTTTATATAGAGCTCCTATACGTCCCCGTGTTGTTGTGGCCGGCAGCTCCGACCTTGGCTCTCCTGCTTCGGCTGCCAACTAAACTACACTCGATCCGTGTTGTTCCCGCGGAGCCAGGCAGAGAAGGGAGAGGAGAGCTGAAAATGCTGAGAGATTTCTGTAGAAGTTTTGGAGACAAAGCAGGCAGGAGATTCCTTTCTAGAAAACATTTGGATGTTGCCAAGCGCTGTCAAGTAGGCAGGTCCTGACTGCACTGTAAAATAGTGTTGGGTTTTGGGAGCGTGTCCTGCACAACCAGAATGCCGTCGGCTTGGAGCCAAGTTCCTATGCGCGCAGCTCCCTGTGACCGTCCGAGTGCGGAGCCTAGGGCGGTCGGGAAAGAGGGAATCGTGGGGACGTCCTGATGGCCGAGGGCAAGGGAAGCGTTAGGAAGGCGTCGGCAGAGCGTTCCGCAGGCTGCAGCGCTGCCCGCTGCCGCGGCCCGGCTGCAGCTTCCTCAAGAGCAGGATTCAGCGTTACCGGACGAGGCCCTTGTGCCTTTGTGCCTGGACATTCGGGGCTGAGCAGCAGCTCATCCCGTGTGCTCGGGAATGCCCAGTGTGACACTCACATTTCCCGTTTCCTCTAGGGAAGGCTTAGAGCAGGCTCTGTGTGTGCTGTGGCACAGGCTGCCAATGCACTATCAGCAAGGGTGCTRATTTAGAAAGGAGTTACAGCAGTGTGACATGGGACACGTTTTGTCCTTGTTTCAGAGACTTACTTCGTAGGTTTGGGGTTATTCTGGAGCAGATGTTGGCCTCACATATAACTTTCTCATAAGAAAGTCACAGTAGGTTGGTCTAAGTAAGTTTCCCATTACCCTCAGGTGGAACCACATTTGACCCAGCATAATACCAAGCATTAACAGCTGATCACACAAAAACTGAAAAATCAGCCCTTCTTTATCTGAGAAGAAGTTTCACGCTCATGTGCAGCCCGTGTTTGCCTTTCCCTTCCCTCCTGCCGACAGGCCCAAGTACGGGGGCAGGTACTGCCTGGGGGAGCGCAAGCGGTTCCGCATCTGCAACGTGAAGCCGTGTCCCCCCGACACGCCGTCCTTCCGCCAGATCCAGTGCAGCCAGTTCAATCCCATGCCCTATAAAGGAAAGCTCTACAAGTGGACGCCAGTGCCAAACAACAGTGAGTCCAAGATGCAACCTGCTGCAAGGGTGCAATTTGCGGTGCCAATTAGAAGTCATGAATAGGTTTTTGCTAATGATTTATCTTTGCTGTTCATGCATGCAACCTGTACTGACTTCTTGTCAGGAATTGCCTTTCTTTTCTACCGCTCCTGCAGCATATTTTGACTGCATTTTAGACGAAGAGCATGTGGCTGAGCTGCAGGATTGGTCTGTGATTTTGGAGAGGGTTTTTCAGAGGGAAGGTGCATCGTGTCAGTGTGAGCCGGGGACCCTGCCAGGGGAAGCAGCAGCAGCCTTKTCACCTTTACTTACTGTCTCCCTCAGTTAATCCGTGCGAGCTGCACTGCCGGCCGGAGCACGAGTACTTTGCCGAGAAGCTGCGGGACGCCGTCATCGACGGGACCCCGTGCTACGAAGTGAACGCCAGCCGGGACATGTGCATCAAYGGGATCTGCAAGGTGCGCCTCGCGTCAGCGCCGGCCCCGGCCGTCTCCTAGGCGGGCAACATCCCCTTCCTGCATTCACCAGGAGACAGGGTTCCCTCCTTTTGCAATTCACCCTTACATGAGCACTCACTGATATGTTTGTGCTTGTGAATCTGCCCGGAAATTTGTTAAACAAAAACACTTCCCAAATTACTTTAAATAGTGTGCCCGTTAGCTGCCTCCACAGTGTTTGGAGATGGCTCTGCCCACAGTCCTCCAAGCAAACGTTAACTGACAGATTTTATTATTCTTCTTCTGTAAGGAAATGAGAGTGGCCTTTCCTTGTTCACATGTGATTGCCCATAAGATTTAAGCCTCTGTTCTGGCTCCAGGAAAGTAGGATACAAATCCAAGAAAATAAGGAGGAGCAGGTTTATTTCTGAATAGTCGGAGATGCAGAAAGGATGTGTTGTCCCTGGGCCCACCCTGGGGACCGCTGGCTCCGGGGGATCTGCTCTTCCTTCAGGATTGTTCTTTTCTTCCTGAGAAGCTGCTGGCTCTGCGTATGTAGAGGCTGGAGCTGTGGTCAGGGCAGATGCTTTTGTCCCGGGCCCTGCAGCCTCGGGCAGCAGCTGGGAGCACAGCGCGTTCCGGCAGACCCTGCCACCACCTCCACATCTTCCCAAACGTTGTAGCTAATACAAACAGGGAGATTAATAATAATAAAAACAGGGGAGATGCACAGCAAGGTATCCACCTTGGCAGCAGCTCAGCAGCAGCCGTGAGGTCCATCTGCGGCATGCACCGAGCGTCTTCGTGCTCCGTGCAGCACAAAGAGCAGCAGGGAACACACTCCGTAAGCGAGTTTCCTTGCAGTCTTTTATATATATAAAAATAACCAAAAAAAAATCAGTGGAAACTTCTTCCTCTTCCTGATTGTCGTGGGTAGCACCAGTCACAGCCCCCTGGCAATTGCTCTGCACAGTGGGACACTTTGAGAAGGTCCCGTTTCSTCCTGGAACGGGCTGGAAGTCACTTCAAAGGCCGCACTTGCAGATGTGCAGCACTGGCTGCAGGAGAGCTCGGGGTCACGGCTCTTCCTTGGCAAAGACGCGGCAGCTCTGCGATGTCGAGATGTTATCGTCAGAGCTAACAGCCATAGAAAACCCTGCGTGACCATAAAGCTGCTGTTGGCATCGACACCAGCATGAAACCTGGCTCAATGCGGGATATTGCAGTAGTGAAAATAATGCTCCTTCCCTAATATGTGAGCAAAAGTAGCTCCATGGATATTTCCTCTTGGAGATTAGACTTCTGTGCTCCCCGTTGGCACGGAATCTGGGAAGACCCTTGGGATATTACACTTCACCAAATTGGATGGAGTCTATTGCTTGGTGAACATGAAGGGATTTGGCAGCTACCTGGACCGGAGGTGTGGAGAGCTTTGTCGGAATACAAAAATATTCCCTGGAAATCTCTTAGCACAGAGTTAGCAGGGCCAAACCCCAAGAGGCTTTCCCGGCTACGCACAGTGTTTAACTCACATCATCAGACTCTGCTATCCAGGGAATTCTGGACTGAAGAGCAGAATGGGAAAAGGAAAAAACAAGATGTGAGTCTTGCTTTTCATAGAAGCAGGAATAGAATGGGAAGACTGCCAGGATGGATGAGGGAGTGAGAAATGAGCACTGCAGCCTGCTCAGGAAGGACTGCAGCTTGTGGGAACAGCTCTGCAGGCCGTGTTCTTCCTTTCACCCCATYAAGGGGGAATATCTCCCCACTGAGGCTGGTTCTCGTCACTGTTTTATTTCCTGCATTACACTGTTGGTCCCATCCTGAAGCTCCGGTGCCCAGGGCCACCGCAGCTGGGTGCAGTATTTTACTTTCTAAATGTCAAATATTGTAATTTGATAACAAATAAAGCTGTAAGATCCAATGCCTTCATGTTGGAGTCATACAAGTTGAAGCAAGCAATGAGGTTCAGCGCTCGTGGTGGCCCCGCGCGGGCGGCTGAGCCCGTGTCTCCGTTGCAGAAGGTGGGCTGCGACTACGAGATCGACTCCAGCGCGGTGGAGGACCGGTGCGGCGTGTGCCACGGCAAYGGCTCCACGTGCCACACCGTGCAGAGGACATTTGAGGACAGCGAGGGGCTGGGTGAGGCCGCGCGGCGCCGTCCTCGCGCGCGACGCAGGGATGGGCTTTGAGCAGTAGCGCAGCGAGGTCGGGAGCTCGTTATCTTCCCATCGCTTCCTCCTCGGAGGAAAAAATTCCAGCACCTGGAGACAAATCTGTGAGAGCTGGAGCTGTTTTAGAAAGGTTTTAAGGGAATGTGGGGTGTGGGCATGGTAATGTCTTGCCAGGGCATGAGAACTGCTTCATGCTGTGACGGGCTCTCCCACGTCACGACGTTTGGGGCAAAATAGGGTTTGTTGCCCACTGGAGAGGGGAGGGGGTGTTCCTCAAGCTGGTCTCAAAGATAACACCCTGGGTGTGATGCTGACAGCTCAGTCTGAAGGATGGATAGTACCTGGGACAGCATCTGTGGTTGTCTGAGACTGATGTTCAATTATGTTCCCAGGGTATGTTGATATTGGGATTATCCCCGTCGGAGCCCGGGAGATCAGGATTGAAGAAGTGGCAGAGGCAGGGAACTTCCTGGCCCTGCGCAGCGACGACCCGGAGAAGTACTTCCTGAACGGCGGCTGGACCATCCAGTGGAACGGGGATTACAAAGTGGCTGGCACTACCTTCACCTACGCAAGGACGGGGAACTGGGAGAACCTCACGTCGCCAGGGCCCACCGTGGAGCCSGTGTGGATCCAGGTATCGGCTGTGCTCCCGTTGGTCGTGGGCAGGGGATGTGGCAGGGCCGGGGTCATGCCRTCCATCACAGAATTCCAGAGTGGTTGAGGTTGGAAGGGTGCACCCAGTGCAGCYCCTGCTCCAACAGGGACACCCAGAGCACGGGGCACCTGATCCATCCGGGTGGGTTGGGAAGATCTCCGGAGAAGGAGCCTCCCCAGCCTCCCTGGGCATCCTGTGCCAGGGCTTGGGCACCCTCACACCAAAGAAGTTCTTCCCCAAATGGAGGTGGAACTGCCTGGGTTTCACCTTGGACCCATTGCCCCTAGTCACTGTCACTGGCCACCACCGAGAAGAGTTTGGCCCCCTCCTCCTTCCATCCTCCCCTCAGGTACTTGTACAYGTGAATCAGATCCCCYCTCAGTTTTCTCTTCTCCAGGCTGATCGGGCCCCACTCGCTCAGTCTCTCCTCATACAACAGATGTTCCAGTCCCTTCATCATCTCTGTTGGTCTCTGCTGGCCCTTCTCTAGAAGCTCCACGTCCCTCTTGCCCCAGGGAGCCCAGAGCTGCCCCTATGCTCCCAGCGTGGCCTCAACGGGGCTGAGCAGAGGGGCAGGATCCCGCCCTGCCCTGCTGGGGCACTGGAGCCCTGGAAAGCGGAGGTTGCTCATGTGCTCCCAAGGGAAGCTTGTGAGGGCCCGTCTCCTGCTYCGTGCAGCGTTCGCGCCAGGAGACTCCTCTGCGGAGAGCGGGCTGCCAGGGGAGCGGCTTTAGCAGTTAATGAATGTCAGGGTTTATTTATTTCCAGAGTGAACTGTTTACTCTAACGATCCCGATACCTCCGTGCCGGCAGGAGAGTCTCTGTGTTTGCCCACATAATGAGGATGGATATTAGTTTCCCAGCAGCTGGGAAGTTGCTTGGGATTTCCAGAAGAAAAGCTGCCTTACCAAGCACCCCGGCTTCCCAGGAAGGGGCCAGGCCGTCCAGGCTCGCTCCTCTTGTCCTTCGTCCCCAGGAGGCCTTTTCCAAACACACGTCTGTGTGTCCCTCGTCACCAGAGCCCCTCTAAACCTCGTAAACCCCTTCTGAATTGCGGGAGCCAGAGCTCTGGTGCTTATCTGAAAATTGCCCTATACTGCAAACAAATCCTCCTCTATTAATTTTCACCTTGTTTCTATGGAAAAAGAGTTGCCAGAGGGATTTATTCTTTAGCACAGCTTATATTTTAATGAGCTTTGCATGGCTCTGCAGGGGTTATAAATACGTGCGCAGAGGCGGCTGAAAGGCAGCAAGGCAGCATGGGTTAGGGCAGTTATTCCCATGGCATTTCCAGGAACCCGTTTTCTGCCGCTGTTGACCTGCCTTTTGCCCCTGGAAATGGCAGTGGGGGCAGGTTGACAGTGAGGAGCATGTCAGCGGGCACAGAGCTTTGTGGAAGCAGCCTCCTCGTGCCCATGAAGCCCGTTTTGGCCCAGGAGAAGTCCATGGGAGCCATGGAGGTGGCTATGGCACAGACAGGACCAGGCTGAAGTTTCTTCTGGCACAAGATCTGGTCATTTTTGACCACTGCTGTTACAATTCCAAACAATAACTGTCTCAATGGATTGCACAATGTGCAGTGTAAAAATGTGTCTTTGAAATCAAACCAAATGGGACATATGAGGGAATTGTGTTTAGGCTCTGGAGGTCTGCTTGATGATTGCCTTTTAACCTTGTTTTTTCCCTTTTCGCTACCCCTTGATAAACGAACAAGAAGATTGCCTCTCCTGGGTGTTCTGCCCTAATTAGCACAACAGAAGAAGGAAACAAGAGATTCCTGTAGTGAGCGGCAGCTTGGGCTCACTTACCTGGGGAGAGGAAGGAAGGAGCTTTGGGAAGTTCGGGCTTTTGTCGTTCTGCAGAGTCCACAGTTCCTGGCTCCTTTCTGTTTGCATTTGCCTCCTCTGTGGCTTGTTCTGGTGAACAGGGAATAACTGTCCTGGTGGGCATAGAACAGCCCTGGGATATGAAGCATCAAATTCTTTTCTTATGCATGCCTAAAAACCTGCATCCCAGGCAGATGCTCCATTTGGATGGAGCATGCTGGACAAGAGCAGGGATGTGTCCACGCATCAGGAGCAGGGCTGCCCTGGCCAGGCTTAGCCTCATACAGCCCCGGAGCTCAACACAGTGTGAACTGCAGAAGGGCTATGGCAGGGACAAGAGCAGGCCACCCGCAAGCAGGGTAGGTCCTAGCAGACAGCCGGAGCCGGGCCCCATTCTCCTGCTCTGCTCTGACATAAAAACTCAGTATTTGAGCCCCACTGAGTGCTCAGGAGCTCTTGCACCAGAGCTAACCCAGGGTTGCACCTGGCAGAGTCAGGCGGCCAGAGGCTTTGCTTTTCGTCACCGAAATGGTTTGAGCAGATGCTCCAGAGAATACGCACAAGGGACCCTTGGCTTGTCTTGCTCTGAGAGTTGCTTTCCCCCGCTAATGTGAGCCCTGGCGYGCGTAACGCCAGAAAATCTCTAGAAAGCTGCCTGGGATTTGTAACCTGATTAAAACCTTTCGACAGAAAATGTTTCAATATTCGTGGAGAGGTTTTGGAAGGGTGCCCTCTCTCCCACCAGAGCTCCAAGAACAACAGAACTTTGGCAATAATGGGAGCACTTAGGCTGAAAAAGCAAGGCTAAACTCACAGGCTTTCACAGGCGCTGATGGAGGCTGGAGGTGCTTTGGACCGCACTTACATTAACCGCTGCAGAAGCCGTTTTGCTCATTTTGAGAACAGCAGGAATCACATTTCAAGTGGGGAGAAATTAATGAAATTCCTTCAAGCGCRTGTGCCCAGCCAGGCTCTGCCCGGGGCCGGCTGCGTGTTACGCTGGCACCGGCGCTCGAGCCATTTGGAGGTGCCACCTTACTGCCATGGCCTCCTTTTCACCCCAGTCTCCTGCAGGACCCATGGGCACGGCCTTTGCTTTTAGTGCTGCTCTCCCTATGGCCAGCCTGTAAATGGCCCTGATTTCCCTGAGCAAAGCGCAGGGAACAGCGCTCATTTCTCCGAGCAAAGCATGGGGAATGCTGCTGATTTCTCCAAGGAATGTTACTCATTTCCATGAGTAAAGTGCAGGGAATGGCGCCCATTTTCCCAAGCAAAGCACGGGGAATGGTGTTGATTTCTTTGAGCAAAGTGAGGGAAATGGTGCTGATTTCCTCAGCAAAGTGCAGGGAACGGTGCTGATTTCCCCAAGCAAAGTGGAGGTAACAGTGCTGATTTCCTCAAGCAAAGCATTGGGAATGATGCTGATTTCTCTGAGGAATGGCCCTGACTTCCCCAAGCAAAGTGCTTGGAACGGCGCTGATTTCCTCAAGCAGAGCACAGGGAATGGTGCTGATTTCCTCGAGCAAAGTGCGTGGAATGGCGCTGACTTCCCCAAGCAAATCCCGGGAACGGCGCTGATCTTGAGCAGAGCGCGTCTCTGAGCGGTGCCGTGTCCCCACAGCTGCTGTTCCAGGAGAGGAACCCGGGCGTGCGCTACCAGTACAYGGTGGCCAGGGAGGCGGAGAGCGGCCACGGGCCGGCGCGGGCCGAGTTCCTGTGGCGCTACGGCTCCTGGACGGCCTGCACGGCCACCTGCGGCTCCGGTGAGTGCCCCGCAGCCGCCCCACGCGCGCACACTGCCCCATCCTGCTCAACAGGGCTGCTTCTCCCCGGGGACATGGAAACATGACAACCTTGTCGGTAAGGGGACCCTGTCATGCGCCACGGCCGGCGGGATGTGGCAAGACCAGCCAGAAACGCTGCTAGGAGAGCGCTCAGAGCGGGCTGCTGGCATGCGCCCCCGAAATCCTTCAGGTTTTAGTTCCAGTAGGGTAAGAAAGGGAACATCTGCTGAGGCCGTAAATAGCGCGCGGCCCCACGGTGCTCGGGGCCTCCTCGGCCCTTCGCTCTGCGCCCGGTGTCCGGTTACTGCGGCCGCCGCGCGCRCCGCGGCCCTCCGGTCACCCAGACAAAGGGCGCGGGCGACGCCAAAGCGGCAGCGGTGGCTGCTGTCCAGCCTGCCGGGGCATCCGGCGGGACCGGCCCTTTGCAGGGAATTCCTGGAGAGCGCATCGGAGGCGCCTTCTCCCCAGGTCTGGTGCCGGATCTGGGAGCCTGACTCCCGCACCAGGGCCTCTGTCACCTGCACCCGCGACTGCCCGTGTGCCCAGGACACGAAGCGGAAGCCTCTCGTGCGTCCCTCSGTGTCCTGGCTCACACAGGACCTGGTTAATTAGTTTCCAGGAGCAAACGAGGCAGGCGACAGTGTGGGAGGGAGCTGGACCCCGTGTCCCTTGTGGGACAGCAGCTCTTTGTGGGGCTCACCGGGCGCCGACCGAACGGGGCCCATGCAGGTACCGCATGAGACACGGGGAACCACAGCAGGGTCTCGGCAACCCCCTGAGCAGCTTGGGAGCCCCCCGTTCTCAGCAGCTTTCAGCAGCTTTGCTAGGCCTGTAGCCATCTCAGCTCATGGTGCTTGTTATTATTTACAGCTCTCCCAAGTCATGGGTTAAGTATGTGCGGCAAAGAGAAGGGCTAGAGAAGATAGCGAGGCAGAACATTGACAGTGAGGTCATCCTTAGAAATTCCACCCTGTAAGTGCCGCAGAATGGAAGCGGGAGGCTTTGGTGGATGGTTTATCCATCAGCTGCAACTCTGGCAGAAGGCTGCCAAGAAGAGTTGTCCTGCTGCCAACTGACTTCCCTGTGGATACAGCTGCCCCCCTGCAGAAGAGCCCCGTGAGTGCCGACAACGACCCGCACGGGATGAGCRCACACACACRCACACACACACACACACACACTAACTGCAGCACGAGGATACGGCCCGCGGGTCGGGAAGAGGCAGGGACGGTGGTGCCGGGATAACGGGCTTCCCCGGCGCCTGCGTGCCGTAACCCACCCGGCGTCTCTCCCGGCTGTGTTTTTCCATGTGGTTTTGCCACCTGCCTCGCTGCTCRTGCAAACAGGGAGCTGGGACATTCCCAGTGCTGCTCCACGGGCAAGGCTCCACTCCAGCACAGAAATGCGCTGGGGTTACGGGACGGGTTTTGCTACCTTCTGCCGGCAGGAAACTCAGCAAATAGGTCCCAAACAAGGCCTGTGTTTTCTTAACCCTGCTGTTTATGGCTGTGGTTTGAGCCTAATGCAAGTGCCCTGGCGGCAGAAGGGGCTTTTCCATCTCGTGTGCCCAGGCTGTGTGCAGGACAGCGCTGGTGGGACAGATGTTCAGCAGGTCTCAGCACGGCTTTCTGTCCGTGTGCCAAACCGGGTGGTTTTCATCTAGTTTTGAACACAATGATCATTTTTCATAAGGGAAAAAAAGGCCTGTCAGGCACGGGATGTTCCTGATTATGCTGTTTCCACACAAAAGGTCAAAAATTATTTGGGGGCCAATGTAGATACATYAGAAAGCGCTGCGGCTGTCAGTGGGGGCTGGGAGCTGGACGTCCCCAGGCTGATGGCAATTGATCCCAAATGAAGCAGCCCAACAGATCTACCCGGTAGCTGTAGCTTCCTGCACCCGCAGAGGGATTTTCCCGCTGGTTTTGCAGGCTTCAGCTGCCTGGACGTGGGAGGAACCAAAGCGAGCCGGACACGTGCTGCCACGGGCACCAGGCTGCTGCAGGAAGCACCCAGGTGCTTCCTTTCTCAGGCGGCCCTGGTGCTGAGCAGGCTGCCGGCTGTCTCCTGCAAACAATTGCATTAAAATAACCTGGGAGGGAGGGAGAAGTCCYGCAGGAAGCGCCATGTCTGCCGGGGGCTGCCGAGGGGAACGATGCGCCGGCCCTGGCACCCGTGCCGGGAGAGCTGCCCGGCCCCGCGCTGGCTCTCCAGGCTCCATTTCCAGCCCCAAATCTTACAGGTCTAACCATAAACCTCTCGTGTCCCAGCGCAGGTTCCCCCGGCTGGCAGTGCTGAGTGGTGGTGGTGGCTCTGGGGTCTCATCTGCTCCTGCTCTCAGCGTGCGGCGCTGAGGCCTCCCGCTCCGCGCTGGCACGGGATGCCGAGTGCTGCCACTGGCAGGACAGAGGGTGAAACCAGCGCGGGGTGGCCAAAAGGCCTCGCATGGGCAGAAGGTTTTAGGGCTTCTGCCTGCAGGATTTCTGCGTCCTTTTTGGCAGGGCTTCCGCGGGAGGTTTAGAGCGGGCTCAGGGCGCCCCGTGCCGCGGCGGTGCCCTGAGCGCCGTGCGCTTGTGTCCGCAGGGCTGCAGAGGCAGACGGCGCGCTGCGTGGAGCGGCTGGCCGGCATCGTGGAGGAGAGGCACTGCGACGCGCGGAGCCGGCCCGACGACCTGCAGCGCGCCTGCAGCGAGGAGCCCTGCCCCGCCAGGTCCTGCCTGCCCGGCGCCCA